GATGCTGATGATGATGATGATGATGATGATGATGATGCTGATGACGGTGACGATGCTGCTGATGATGATGCTGATGCTGATGCTGATGATGATGCTGCTGATGCTGCTGCTGATGATGCTGATGTTGTTGATGATGTTGCTGGTGTTGCTGCTGATGACGATGCTGCGGATGATGTTGATGATGCTGATGATGACGATGCTGATACTGACGAAGCTGACGATCATTACGTGATGATGATGATGATGATGATGATGATGGTGGTGATGATGATGATGATGAGGATGTTGATGCTGACGTTGATGCTGATGCTGGTGCTGATGATATGCTGCTGCTGATGATGCGGATTATGGTGCTGGTGCTGATCATGATGACGATTCTGATGCTGATGATGAAGACGGTGATGCTGCTGCTGATGATGAGGCTGATGATGATGCTGATGCTGATGACGATGATGATGCTGAGGAGGAGGACGAGGATGAGGATGATGATGTTGAGGAGGATGTTTATGAGGATGATAATATTGATGATGATGAGGATGATGATGATGATACTGATGATGAGGATGATGATAATGATGATGATGATGAGGATGATGATTATGATGGTGGTGGTGATGATGATGATGATGATGATGATGATGATGATGATGATGATGATGATGATGATGATGATGATGATGATGATGATGATGATGATGATGATGATGATGATGATGATGATGATGATGATGATGATGATGATGATGATGATGATGATCAGGAGGAGGAGGAGGAGGAGGAGGAGGAGGAGGAGGAGGAGGAGGAGGATGAGGAGGAGGAGGAGGAGAGGAGGGAGGAGGAGAGGAGGGAGAAGAGGAGGAGAGGAGGAGGAGCAGGAGGAGAAGGAGGAAGGAGAAGAAGGAGGAGGAGGAGGAGTTAGGCGGAGTAGGAGGTGGGTGGGGTGAGGAGCAAGAAGACACAGGAGGATAGATCAGAGAGAAGTTTGAGGAGTAGGAGGTGGACGAGAGGCAGCAGGAGTAGGAGAAGAGGAGGAGGAGGAGGAGGCGGAGGAGGAGGAGGAGGAGGAGGAGAGAGGGGCGCGTTATGGAATTTCATAATGCTAAAGATGGAGGAAGAGGAGGACCAGGAGAATGAGGAGGTGGAGGAGGAAGGAGGAGGAGGAGAAGAGGAGGAGGAGGAGGGAGGAGGAGAAGGAGGAGGTGGAGGAGGAGGTGGAGGAAGAGGAAGGAGCAGCACCTGGAGGAGGAGAGGAGAAGGAGGAGGGCGAGAAGGAGGAGGTGGAGGAGGAGGGACGAGGAGGAGGAGGAGGATGTGAGGAGGAGGAGGAGGAGGATGAGGGGAGAGGAGGAGGAAGAGGAGGGAGGAGGAGGAGGAGAAGGAGGAGGAGGAGGAGGGTGACAGCCCAGCTTAGCGACCTAACAGGTGACAGGCGTCTCCATTCAGAAGGGGACGGCGATGAGGAGGAGGGTGGAGGCGGGAAGATGATGAGGAGGTTGAAGGAGGACGGATACTGAGGAGGAGGAGGTGGAGGAGGAGGTGGAGGAGGCGCAGGAGGAGGAGGTGGAGGAGAAGGAGGAGGGAAATAGGAGGAGGAGCAGGATGAGGAGGAGGAGGAGGAGGTGGAGGAGGATCCGGATGAGGAGGCGAAGGATAAGGAGGAGCAGGGGGACCAGTGTAAACACAAGACTCATGAACGAGATCGCAATCAACCCTCCCCCCAAGATCCCTCACCGTAGGCTCCTACACGGATCCAATATTACTGGTGGAACTGTCCCGTTGGAAGACCGTCGTTTGAACATCCGGAATTGTGCCAGGGCGCATTTCCCGGCGCTTCACCGCCGCAAAGCGAATCACCTTACTGTTGCGTCTTGACGATCATGAATCGTGTTGGAACGCCATCCTTGGGATTTCAACCCCGCGAATCAGCGTGACTGTTGCGCCCTGACATTGCGTCATCGTGCCAAACCCCAGTTTTTGGGACTTGAACCATGAGAACCCTTCAAACTCGTGCAAACTTTTAGGACGAGTCTGCGCGGCGCTAAGGCGAGGGCCACATTCTGAAAAGGAGCCGACCTTCATCCGTGAAGCTCTTGCGAATTTTTGAGACGAATGTGCGCGGCGCTACGGCGAGAGCAACATATCGAAAAGGAACCTCGCTCGATCCGTGACGCTCTTGCAAGCTTTAAGACGAATGTGCGCGGCGCTAAAGCGATAGGCGCATTTTGAAAATGAGCCGCCATGAAGGTAAACGTGCGTGGCACCAAGGCGAGAGTTACATTTCGAGAAGGGACCGCCCTCCATCCGTGAAAATCTTGCAAATTTCAAACGGAATATGCACGGCGCTACGGCGAGAGCCACATTTTGAAAACGGACCGCCGTCCATCCGTGAGACTCCAGCACATTCAGACGAATGTGCGCGGCGTTATGGCGAGAGCCACATTTTGAAAAAGGATCGCGCTCCATCCGTGAAGCTGTTGCAAATGTCAGGCTTCAGGATCATAATTTGTCTGGAAGTCTCAGGCGAAACACCCGACCCGCCCTTTCGACCGGCCTTGGGGTGCGACAGGGAGGAGTTATCTATAATAGAAGGAAAAGAAATGGAGCAGGAAGAGGAGGAGGAGGAGGAGGAGCAGATGGAGGAGGAGGGAGGAGCAGATGGAGGAGGAGGGAGGAGGAGGAGGGAGAAGGAGGAGGAGGAGGAGGAGGAGGAGGAGGAGGAGCAGAAGGACGAGGAGGAGGAGAAGGATGAGGGGGAGGAGGGGGAGGAGGGGGAGCGAGGACACCACTCGCAGCAGCGCCGGCAATGGACAATGAGCTTCACCGCAGCGGCCGCATGGACGACGACGACGACGACGATCGGCGCTTCGGACAACCCCCCCCGCCACTCGGCCGCCCCCACCTCCGCCGCGTCTTTCGTCACCTCCTTTTCCCTGCGCGCGTCAGTAGGGCCTCTCGCTGAAGGCGGCGGCCTCGCTGAGTAATTATTGTGTACGTATGTATCTGTCTCGTTTCGAGGCCCCGCTGGTGCCCCAGTCAGAGCGAAGTGGTCTGGCACCCTCTGGCACCCTCTGGCCGCCGTGTGGTGTCCTTGTCAAGGACCTTGTTGCCACCAGCGTGCGTGGCTGGGACGCTCTGTCCCTTCCCCCCTCTCCCACGTGCAGCAAGAGGAGGAGGAGGAGGAGGAGGAGGAGGAGGAGGAGGAGGAGGAGGAGGAGGAGGAGGAGGAGGAGGAGGAGGAAGATGAGGAGGACCGAGGAGGAGGAGGAGGAGGACGGAGGAGGAGGATCGAGGAGGAGGAGGAGGAGGATAAGGAGGAGCAGTGTAGACCCAAGACTCATCAACGACGCTGCAATAAGCCCTCCATCCAAGTTCCTTTTCATAGCGCGCTACTAAAATATTCTGCGATTGCGGGAAGTATACCATTCGAAGACAAGCGTTTGAGAATCCCCAGTCGTCCCAGGACATAAGTCCTGGGATTTCACCACCGCAGCAAGTCTTAATCGCGCCAGAACAGCATTCTTTAGTTTTCAATGCTGCGAACCAAAGTGACTGTTGCGTCGTGACAATCCTCGATCGTGCCAGAAAACCAATCCTCGGACTTCAGCCATGCGATCCTTGAAACCATTGTTAACTTTTTGCGCGAATGTGCGCCGCGCGAAGGCGGGAACAGCATTTTGAAAAAGAACCGCGCCCCACCTGTGAAACACTTGCACACTTTGAGCCGAGTGTTTGCGGCGTTAAGGCGAGTGCCTTGTTTTGTCAAGGAGCCGCCCTCCATCCGCGAAGCTGTTGCACATTTCAAGCTTCAGGGTCATACATGGTGACGAAGAATTGGGCGGAACGCCTGGCCCGCCCTACCGACACGTCTGGGGGTGTGGCAGGGAGGAATTATTCATAAGGATCTCGGATGGAGGATGATCGAGGAGGACAGGGGAGGACCATGAGGAGGAGGACCAGTTTAAACCCAAGACGTATCAACGATTTGCAATAAACCCTCCCTCCAAGCTCCCTTTCATAAGCCCCATACAGGGGTTCATGTTCGCTGACGTGCCCCGTTGGGAAACAACCGTTTGAACATCCAGAATTTTGCTAGAGCGCGATTCTGGGGACGCCAACGCCGCGAATCACCGTTACTGCTGCGACTTGGTGATCCTGCGTCCCTGCCAGTCTGACAACGTGCAAAAACACCTTTTCTGGACTTGCGAACCCTTGAATCTGTTGCAAGCTCCTCAAGCGAATGTGCGCGGCTCGAAGGCCAGAGGCACGCTTTGAAGAGGAGCCGCCCTCCGTCCCCGAACCCCTTGCGAGGTTTTGCAACGGATGCGCGTGGCGCTCAGGCGATAGCCGCGTCTTGAAGAGGAGCCGCCCTCCGTCCGTGAGGCTCCCGCACGCTGTCAAACAATTCCGCGGCGCCCGGGCGAGAGCTACGTTTTGAAAAGGAACCGCCCTCCATGCGTGAAGCTCTTGCGATTTTTTAGGACGAGTGTGCGTGGCGCCAAGGCGATCGGCACATGCTGAAAGCGACCTGCCGTCCATCTGTGAAACTCGTCGCGGTTTTTTGACGGATGTGCGTGGCGCTCAGGCGAGAGCTATATTTTGAAAAGGAACCGCTCTCCACCCGTGAGGCTCTTGCAAGCTTGAGCTTCAAGGTCATAATTCCTTAGGAAGTCTCTGGCGAAACGAAACGCCTGGCCCGCCCTTCCGACCAGCCTCGGGGTGCGACAGGGAGAACTTATCTATAAGGAGAAGGAGTGGGGAAGGAGGAGGAGGAGGAGGAGGAGGAGGAGGAGGAGGAGGAGGAGGAGGAGGAGGAGGAGGAGGAGGAGGAGGAGGAGGAGGAGGAGGGAGGAGGAGGGAGGAGGAGGAGGAGGAGGAGGTGCGACAGGGAGGAGTTATGGAAAAGGAGTGGGGAAGGAGGTGAGGAGGAGGAGGAGGAGGAGGAGGAGGAGGAGGAGGAGGAGGAGGAGGAGGAGGAGGAGGAGGAGCCCGAGCGCCGTCAGGTGGTGGCGCTGCGGGCGCGCCTCCGGCTGGCGGAGGAGCGCGAGGCGGCAGGCGGGCGCCCACGTCCCGCCGCAGCCGCGGGCCGTCGCCCCGGCCTCCGCCGCCCGGCCGCCGCCAGGGCCGCCGTCACCCTTGGCCTGTGGCTCGGGAGCGCAGGTTTCTCAGGTCCGGGCGTCGCCAGAAGCGGCGGCGGCATCGCCCTCCCCTTCGGTTTCTGGGCGTCATGGAGGCCGGCGCTCGGCCTGGAGGCCGTCGTTAGAAGAGGGCTCAGGGCGAGAGGCTGGCCCCGAGGAGACCGTCGAGGTGCCCGAGGGGCCCGCGCCTCGAGCAGCTGCGCCGTCGGAGGAGGGGGATCTTCGGCCCCTCGGGGTCTTCTCGGGCCCGATCGATCCGAGTCGATGCTGATGCCGTCCAGCTCGATCCGGTTCGTTTCCGAGGTTCCGGCGATCCGATGCGGCCCGCTGCCTGCATTGCGTGGTCGTGCGTCCTGGCGGAGCAGATCCGATTCGACTTCGCGTGCCAGCGCAGCCCGATTCGACACGCGTTCCGATCATATCCGATGTGTCGATTCGGTGCTAACCGATCCTCCCGCTCCCCTCGCTCCCGCTCCCGCTCCTCCTCCTCCTCCTCTTCCCCTCTGCCTCCCTGGCCTTTTCTCTTTTTCCTCCTCCTCGTCCTCCTGCCTGCTGCTGCTGCTGCTGCTGCTCCTCCTCCTCCTCCTCGTCCTCGTCCTCCCTGCTGCTGCTTCTGCTTCTGCTGCTGCTGCTGATGCTGCTGCTGCTGCTGCTGCTCCCTCCTCCTCCTCCTCCTCCTCCTCCTCCTCCTCCTCCTTTTCCTCCTCCTCCTCTTCCCCCCATGCCGATGGCTTGCCGCAGCCCTACACAACCCTGGAAACATCATGCAACTCTCGCGCGTGGTCCGTCTCCCCGCGACCCTCAACTCCAATCTTCGCGCGGAGCGCCGCGTGATTAGATTTTTCCGCCGCCGGTCGCGGTCGACTAAACAGTGATATCGTGGGTCCAGGGGGGGTTCAAGAAATTGAAAAAATAGCTGCATAGATTTTCCAGCGGGGTGTCTGGGGTGTAGGGGGGACACTGGTGCAGGATGCATGAGGCGCCAGGTGTTCACGCCGAACGCTCGATGCGCACCTGTACTGGCACCTGTAGGGATTTGCAGCCTGCACTTCCCTGTCGAATCTGGCCCCCGCCGCTTTGCTTCTGAGCCAGCGGTCTTGCAAGGTATCCCGTCGACCCCTGGCACTTATGACCTTCCCTGTACCCTCCCATTTCGCCCTCGCAGACCACCTTCCCCCGCTCACCCTCGCTATTCCCAGCTCCCAGCAGGCTCGTTTCAAACATCCTCGTCCCTTGCCCTGAACCCGCGGTCTTGCAACGAATCCCGCTGATCCTGTCCCCCCGCTGATCCCGCCCGCTTCCCAGCTCCAGTAGGAGTATTTCTCTCCCCTTCCCAAGTCCACTTCCGCACCCCGAGCAGGCGCACATGTACACATGCGAAAACCGTTGACTGGATTGCGGCTTAGGGCCCTTAGTTGCAAGCCCACTTAGTTTGCAGCCCGTTGTTTCGACATGCTGGCCTAACAGCATAGGCGAGGATTTTGGGACTGACGTGGCATCACCGCGCCATTCCAGGCAGGCGCATCTTCACCATGCCAATCAGCTGCATGAGCAGAGTCGTATTTGGTATTCTTCACGCTTCGCGTATCCCCACCAGCCCATTCAGGAATCCTGCACACGAGAGCTGACTGCAAAAGGGACGAAGAGACACATACAGTGAAACAAAGCGGGCAATCAGGGTGAACAGAGGTATCTCTGGAGCAAGAGGGTGGCCTTGGAGGGCCTCTTCGGGCTATCCCTGGGGCCCGCGCGGAGGCGAGGGAGGGAGGGAGGGAGGGAGAGAGGAGGAGGAGGAGGAGGAGGAGGAGGAGGAGGAGGAGAGGGAGGGAGAGAAGAGGAGGAGGAGGAGGAGGAGGAGGAGGAGGAGGAGGAGGAGGGAGGAGGAGGAGGAGGAGGAGGAGGAGGAGGAGGAGGAGGAGGAGCAGGAGCAGGAGCAGGAGCAGGAGCAGGAGTAGCAGGAGGAACAAGAAGACGACAACGACCACGACGACGAAGAAGAGGAGGAAGAGAAAAAAGGAACATGATGAGGGCAAGGATGAGGACGAGAACGAGGAGGAGCAGCAGGAGGGGTAGGAAGAGGACAACCAGGACAAGGACAGAGCCCTCAAAATCGCCTCTTGGAGCCCCCTCGGGGCTTTTTTGGGAGGTCTTGGGGTCCTCTTGGGGCTTTTTTCTGGCGTCTCGGGGCTCTCTTGGGGCCCTCTTGGGGCTCTCTTGGGACCTCGTTGTGCGCCCTGGAAGGCCTCTTGGGGCCATCTTGGAGGCTGTCGATCAACGGAAGGGGGGGTTCCTTGAGTTCCCCCCGCCCCCTCTGGGGCCCCCAAATCGCCTCTTGGGGCGCTCTTGGGGCCTTCTCGGGGTTGGTTACTCTTGGGGCTGTCTTGGGTGCCTCTTGGGCCCCTCTTGGGCCTCGCTTGGGCCATTTTGGGGCCATATTGAGGCTTCAGAAGCCCATCGTAAGCGAAACGGTGAGAAGGCAACATTCGTTGATTTTCTGCAGGTTTTCGAAAGATGTTGGCCTCTTGTGGAGCTCCAGATGGGGGCTCCGAGAGCACCTGGAGCCGTGTTGCGGCCCTTGTCGGGCCTCTTGGAGGCATGTCGGAAGCTGTCTCGAATGATTCTTAGGCTTACGCCACACCGCCGACCCCTTGTTTATGCCAATCGGGGGGCAGTAGAAGCTGCGAAGGGGTGAAAAGGCGAGTGATATTTGTTTGGTGTCTGTTCGCCGCCACTGCCGTAGGGTCTCGGGCAGTTCCGCGGGGGTGTCCGAGCGGACGGCGACACCGCGGGCGGTCGTGGTCTCATCTGGGGCCATCTGAGAGGCATAATGGAGCCAGGTTGGGCTCGGGAATGTCTTCGAGCCGTTTCGGTAGCGGTCGGGAGTTTTTTTGGGGGACTGTCCAGGAGTCATTATGGGTCAACTTGGCCATGTGCGAGGCCACGGCGCGTGCAAAGGGTGTGCCGGCATGGGGTATACTTGCATGCGAATCTTCCCACTGGGCCCCACGGTGGACGTATTCTGGAGCCACGACACGATCGACGTGTGTGTGCGCTTGGGGTTGGAAGTTTACGGGACCGCGGGTACTGGGGCTATGGTTGGAGCGCGCCGTGGAGCCACGAAATCTATGAGGGACGTGCCCAATGTTCGCGGGGAACCGCGCGTATACTCGGGTTTTGGGGCCTTTCATTCAAGTTGCCGCGTGCGGGGTGTGCCAAATTGGAGGCATGTTCACTAGATGGAAGCGCCACGGCACCTCGATTTCTGCGGGGTCGGCGGATGCTGGACGTAAGTTGTGGATTTCGAAACTGGGGCTGATCCGTTATTGGGCATGCTGGGGTATTCGGAGGAGTGGGAGGAGGAGGATGAGGAGGAGGAGGAGGACGAGTGATGCTGCGAGCGTAAGAGCGGGGCGAAGGAGACGGAGCAGGAGAAGGAGGAAGAGGAGGAAGGGGAGGAGAAGGGGGGACGAGGAGGAGGCGGAGGAATAGGAAATGACATTGAGCTTCTCATTCCTCTCTGGGATTGGCCGCCTGCGTGTGCGGCTCGACTCTTGGGGCGCTCTTGGGGCGCTCTTGGGAGGCTTGTTTGGGACCTCGGGGGCCGTCTTGGAGACCTTGGCCCGTCTTGGGGCCATCTTGGGCGTCTTGGAGGGGTCGTTTGGCGTCTCGAAGCCTTCGTGGGCCGTCTTGGAGGCCTCTTGGGTGCTTCTTGGCCCGTCTTGAGGCCCTCTTCGACCCGGAAAAGCTCTGGAACCGCTCGTCCCGGCCGTGCTGCGCTCGTCCCGGCTCCCTCCCCCCCTCCAAGTCGGCCCTCTTGGGCCGTCTTGGGGACCTCTTGGGCCGTCTTGGGGCCGTCTTGGGCCGTCTGGAGGCCGTCTTGGGGGCCTCTTGGGCCATTTTGGGGCTATCTTTGGAGCCTTTTTGCCCGTCTTGGAGCGTCGGACAGCCGGAAAGGCGGAGAAGCCAAAAAACGTCGAAAAACACTCTGGAAAATCAACAATTTTAGACTCTTTGGGCCTTCTTGGGAGGCTTGTTTGGGACCTCGGGGGCCGTCTTGGAGACCTCTTGGCCCGTCTTGGGGCCATCGTGGGCGTCTTGGAGCGGTCGTTTGGCGTCTCGGAGCCGTCGTGGGCCGTCTTGGAGGCCTCTTGGGGGCTTCTTGGCCCGTCTTGAGGCCCTCTTGGGCCCGGAAAAGCCCTGGAACCGCTCGTCCCGGCCGTGCTGCGCTCGTCCCGGCCCCCTCCCCCCCTCCAAATCGGCCCTCTTGGGCCGTCTTGGGGACCTCTTGGGCCGTCTTGGGGCCGTCTTGGGCCGTCTGGAGGCCGTCTTGGGGGCCTCTTGGGCCATCTTGGGGCTATCTTTGGGGCCTCTTTGGCCGTCTTGGAGCGTCGGGAAGCCGGAAAGGCGGGAAAGCAAGAAACGTCGAAAAACACTCGGGAAAATCAACAATTTTAGACTCTTTGGGCCCTCTTGGGAGGCTTGTTTGGGACCTCGGAGGCCGTCTTGGAGACCTCTTGGCCCGTCTTGGGGCCATCGTGGGCGTCTTGGACCGGTCGTTTGGCGTCTCGGAGCCTTCGTGGGCCGTCTTGGAGGCCTCTTGGGGGCTTCTTGGCCCGTCTTGAGGCCCTCTTGGGCCCGGAAAAGCCCCGTGAGTCGCTCGTCCCGGACCCCCCCCGCTCGCGCTCCACCCCCCCCCCCCTCCAAATCGACCGGACCGGGCTCCCGGGGGAGGGGTTTGGGGAGGGGGAAGCATCTCACACGCCGATGATCCCCAAGGGGTCGGCGGATTTTCGGCTATCTTGAGCCGCCTCGGAGGCGATCTTTGAGCATAGAAGGCCCCCTTGGAGCCTTCTTGGGCGAAAAAGACCCCCTGACACATCGCGAACCCCCCCAAAACACCTCTGGAAGGAGAGGGGG